TTATTTGGTTAGTCAGTTGTTTATTTTCCTTTTTTTCATTGTAGGCAACCAATTCACAGAGACAAATGCCTTTAACCACTCTGTTAAGGGGAAAAAAAACACCTTTAGCGTGTCTATTTTTATTTTTTTTTAATGCATTCTAGGGATGCTAAGTAACATTTAACCTCTGGCATCACTTCTGGGATTTCTTAATGCCAGCTATCAAAGAACCCCATCTATAAAGGAGAGACAAATGAGTTTAACAACTGTACGTAGCTACTCTAGTTGAAACATGCTTTGATGAGCCGTTTGTGAATAACAGTAAATCAGGGTTGCAACTTGCCAGGTACGAATGCTTGAGTATGAGGAGGAATGTTTAAAACATAGAAACCTGGTTGTCATGAGTTACAGTCGCTACTGAATAATAACATTTCTTCTTCTAGAAAGCAGGGTGGGTTTTGAGGAAGCAAAGGAGGCTGTCCATTAATAATGCTGTTTATTTGTTACTGAAGGTTTCCAAGCGATTGACAAAAGGTGGTACCCTTCAGTTCTAAGTGTTGCCAACCTGCCCACTTCCTGGAACAGGTTTTCTTGAAGTCTTGCCTGATGGGTGCAGTGATTACAAGTTATCAGCAGAACTGTGTGTAGATTCAGATCTAAATGGCAAATAAAATGGATATCTAAATCAATCATATGTTTACATATACCATAACTTTCAGATGATTTATCAAGTGGTTTGGGGTTTTTAATAGTTGTGATTAGAAAACTTAAAGAGTTTCCCCGATCCTGCCATAAAACATCAATCTTTTAACATTTTTTACTTATGGGATTAATATGGTAGCTTTTAGATTTGGATGATGCTAGTGTGAGAATTGCATCTTGTTCCTTTACTGCCCATTCCCTAATGGCTGCTGAAATATCTGGCAGGAGGCTTTCCCCCCTCCCCCCCTTTTTTTTCTTTCCAATTCAGTGGAGAAATAAGAAGTTGAAATTCAATACATTTTGAAATAATAACCCCAGGTATTTATTAGAACCTAAACTGTTAAGATGCCAATAAAATTTATGCTGATTCTTACAGCACACACTCTAGTGAAACTATTAACTATAATGAAGAAGAGGCTGTCAAAAATTTCAGAACATTTTTGAAGTTGTAAAATGCAGTATGCAAAATGAAGTCGTTCATATTAATTGCTAAGCAATTGCACAGAATACTAGACTGCCATTCTTGCAAGGTATATTCAAAGGTATAAAATAAATCTACTGAATTGTTAGTTAGCTGAGTAGTCATTTGCCCGTCCTAATGACATACTGCAATTAAAGTGCTTGAATATTTATTCATAGCATCGCTTACATGCACACACTTATGTTAAGGACATGATTACAAAGCAGCCAAGTGTTCTGAGAACTCTCAATAGCTACGTTTAGATGTGTAATAGTTCAGTAAAAAAGTGGTAAGAACCTCTTATTTTCTTCTTTAAGCTCTGCAAAGATTAGCTCATAAAAACCTCGGTTTGCAGCTCATTATATGAAATATTTTCTTGATGTTTTAGAGATTTGTATATATCTTGGACTTGTTTTTATAAGAGAAGGATAAATCTGTCTTGCAGCACATGCAATTGCGAGTAAACTTGTCTTCATCTTGTCTTCTTTAGCTTACGATACGAAGTCACAAATGAAGTTACTTCTTAGAGCCAAGCCACTGCTATCTCAATCTTGTGGGTAAAAGATGTCATTACTAATCAGGATTTTCTTGGTACCGAGTTTACTGTGATTTCAAATTACCACGTTAAACTGATTTCCTGCTCTTGCCTTCCATTACGTTACTCCACTACGTTAAACTGCATTTGCAGAAATCGTAACTACTGCGAGGCTGTAGACCCAGAACCAGTTTATGTGCCCTGGCAAGAGAAGGAAGCTGCGGAGAAATGTTTGCTGGTTTTCAGGCCCCTGAGTGACAAATATTTGTCTCTGAACTGTTTTGGTTTTTTTTTTTTTTTTTTTTTGTCTTTGTTAAAGTGGAGCAAAGCCGTTTTCCTGGTTCTGCTGCCTTGCAGCTGAGGTTTGGATTTGAATGTTTCCAACTGCGGTGGAGGAATGTAATAGCACAAATATTTCTTAAAGTGAAAGTTGCTCCTTTTGAAAATTTCAATGTGGTGAGAAAATTGAAGACAAGCATTTACTCCCTCCACTGAGTTTAAAGGGACACTGTGAGCTTAAAATTCTAGGTATTTGAGGGCTTTTTTTTTTCTTTAAAAATTTGTGGTAATGGCAGTGGTTTTTCTGCACACTTCTGTGGTTTGCTGTTCTGTTTCCGATCCAGAAATGCTCTGTGAAGGACTTGCACAAACCGATTCTTTTCTCCTTGATAATCAGGTCAATCAATTGACCATAAAGCGTTATTAAGCACAAGAGACAGCCTGATTGCCTGAGGAGAAATGACAGAGGGAAAAGAAACTAGAGGATGTCCAGCTGAATCACTGTGATTTAATAACTTACTGCCTGTCAGTTGAGCCACAGAAGTTGAGCTATTAGCCTGGCCAGTTGATAGATAGAATGAATTGAGTAAATCAATTAAAGAATCAAATCAAACTTCTTTTTATTTTTTTTTTTACATATGTTTGGAGTGGGATAACAGAGCCCACCTTTTTACTTCTTCTCAGCTGGAACTTGTTAGTGCATTTTAAGCTGGTTGTGTGCTTTTACCTTCTATACTGTATTTGACAAGAGCAGGTAAAATAGGTAACAGCAGAAGCTTTTTTTCCTGTTTTTCTTTGACTAGGGCCTATCTGAAAGTTTCAGTGTCAGACATTAGTCTTCATGTAGTATGCTAAAAATGTAGTTTTTTCTAGCAAATTAAGCTTCATAAGTTCTCCTCTTTAGTTGTTTTCAATTGTGTGTTACTTCTCATGGCTTAACATTTTTCAGTCATGAACTTTATTTTAATCCTTCAGAAAGTTAGATCTGTGAAATGTTTTTGAAGATTAAAAATAGTTTCTTTTTAAACTGTTCTACAGTAGAAATGATTAGTAGCATAAATTGATATACTCCAGGGAAGTATCTGTAGTAAAGTAACCCATTTTTTCACCAAGTGATCTAGAAATAAAATAATCTTATTTGGAATAATTAGCTATTTGGGAGAAACCTTATTTTGTAGATGCTTAATGTATTTAGTACTTAGTGTTTATTACTTTTGGAAAGCCACAGTTCAGTAAGACTATTTTATATTGGCTGTTTAATAAAGACACTGAAGTAATAATTTCAAAATCTGTATGCAGTTGATTCATTTCCCCTTAAAACAATCCTCCTTTCACCTTAGTTTCTTGCCTCGTGGGGTACCGCCATAGGTATATATGTGAAATACTTGATAAGGAAGGTGCATAGTCAACTCTGACTGCCACGTCCAGGCATCTAACTTCCGTGGAGCCAGAGAGGACATCAGAGGGAATTTGCATGTAATCGAGGAGGAAGGTTAAAGGGGATCTTCCAAGTTCATTTTGAGAAAAATAAGAAAGGATCTGTGCTTAGCTTGCCTGCGGAAAGGAAAGGACTTTGAACATTATGGAATCAATCGTCTTCCCCACCTTCGTATCTCTAGACTGATTCTATCTACTTGTGACCAAATGCAGCATTTTATTTTTTTACTTTATGTTCAAGTCTCAATTCAATTCAATACTAATTTGGGAGCTGTCAGAAAGTAATAGAAGTGGCAGTTTTCAAAGGTGTGATGCTAATTGGATTTCTGCAAGGAGAGGGAAGCTATGCATGGATTACTGCTTTGTGTCTTCAGTGTGTAGCCTATTGCTTTTCCATCAGTTCAACCACTGCTTAAAAGACAGATAGTAGTGAAGTAATTAATTGTCCTGTGATGAGAGTTGTTCACTGCCTGGAGACCTGTTAATAACAGTATTGAAGATACAGTAGTGGAGGTGAAATATTTCTTTTGATGTCAGAAATGAAAAATAATAGCCAGTAAGAACCACTTAAGATACCGAAGACACACAAAAAAATAATCATGTGCTACACGTACAGGCAATGCATCTTATTCTTCCTTTTGAACTTCATGGAGCTGCTCTGCCTCCCATCCTTTCCCTTTACCCGCATTGCAGTAACCTGCCTTTTTCCTGAAGAGGTCCAGACTCTACTCACTTGTCTCTTTGCCCCAGTAACAGCATTAGGCGTGTTCTGGTCTTTAATTTATGACAGACTTTTTCTAGTTTTCCATCCTATGATCTTCTTTGGGAGGCAGTCTTCTCTTTCTCTACTCAGTTACTTCATGATGATGGAACTAGCAATTTTAACTCCTTTTCCTCACCTCAGCATATTTTTGCTAGTCACTGTAAATGTTGGATGATCAACAGCTGTGGCCTCCTCCTGACATCATTCTTGCCACTGGAGCATCTGGTCTCTGGCCTGCAAAGCAGTCTCTGATAGTTTCTGTTATCCCACCAGCACTTTCTTGCCTATAGCTAACTTGTTTAGGTTTGAATTACTGAGTTTGTTTAATGTAGCATTTTAAACCTAATGTTCCAACTACAGACTTTTTGTTTTGCTTTTACTGGAGTGGTTTAATCATAGTGTAGAAATGAAACAAACTTGCTAAGTTTAAAAAAACAACAAAAAAATCATTTTTGACAACATGATTTTTTTTTTTAATCTAATGAGGTGAGACAGTTGAATTTGAAAGCTGGGTCAAAAGCTTATGTAATTTTGAGACCCTAAATATAGAATGGTGTAATGACACAAAAAGATCAATCTCTGTGCATATGTTCTGGTAGAGTATTTTTGTTTTGTTCGTATTCTGCGCATGCAATTTAAAACTAAGCTGGATACCCTCTGCTTCGAAAAGTGGTCTTGCTAATATTCCTATCTTATGCTATGTGCCAATTTAAATTGACATGTAGCATGTAGGTTTCTTTATTATGATTGTCTGGGTGTGGGGTCTTTGGGGACTTTGTTTTGTTGATAGTAAAATTTCCATGTGGTCATTGTGAAATTTAACTTTTTTTTTTTTTTTTTAATAGTAGTGGAATGGGGTGATGATGTTAAAGCGGTATCAGAAGATGAAGCCATGGTGCTGGTGAACCATCAAGCAACGGGTGACGTCTGCACTCTGATGATGTGCCTTCAGGATAAAGGCACGGTAGGCTATGACCGGGGAGTGGGACACATCCGTGTGTGCGGTCTGATACCTTGGCTGTGCTCGCATCTGTGTGCCCTACTTTCGTGTCTTGACCCACCGAATAATCTCAAGGCCCTGAATAGGAAGCTTTTTGTTTAGATTTGGTTTACTGTGACAGCCAGTAGCTTGGAGCAGGTTTTAGACCAGAAAAGTTGCCTCTGAAGAAGGTCAGATAGGAGCTGAGTCAGTGTGCATCCAGTCTAGATTAACGCAGAGGGAAGCAGATCTCCGTGCAGGTAATCATGTACTTGACTCTTTCACCCTCACCTCATGCCCTTGTGCAACTCATGCCAGCAACTGTGCTGGCTCAAACCAGCACAGATCTTCAGGTGTTTTAAATATTCTAAAGCTTCATTGACTTACCTATGTATACTACTGTATATCTAAATCTAGGCCATATGTATCCTGTTTGACTCCATAGCTAGACAGTTTCAATCAAGGCAGAGGATTAGATGATCTCTATGGTCCCTTCCAACTCTAAAAATTCAGTGAAATTCAGTAGAAGATGTTAAAAATGGAGGAAGACATTGAGATGGCTGATAATCTTCCCATGGAAACTGTTAGGTTTCTGGGTTTTCAGAAAAGCAAAACATCCCTAAAATCACTAATTTTTTCCCTCTTAAGTAATTGCAGTCATTGCTCTTGGAATCTACATGTCCAGAGCCTAGTATGGCTTTAAAGTTTTTAGTTCATAAAGAAATAAAACAGTATGATCTTCAACACATGCTTAAATATAGCATGAGTAGTACAAGTGGCTAAAAATAATGAGAAAGATCAGGATAGTTTATCCTTGATAGAACTTGCTGAATCAGGTGTTTTTAAATAGCATGCTTCATGTTTCTGAACAGAAGAGAATTGTCTTGTCTTTGAGTGACTGTAAAACCACTGGAGGAAAAAAAAACCTGACAAGCTTACCTCTCCAAAATAAATCCTTATAAAATAGGCAACTATTTAAATGAGACTGTTTTCTTTAAATACAGTTTAAACTTGACATGGAGTCCTTCACAACCTTGATACTCATCTGTTAGTAATAACATAGTAATTTCCAGTAATTGTTTTTATTTTGTTTAGGATGGTTAAGCTGCACTAATTCCTAAACGCTTTACCACTCGGACAACACTTTTTAGCTCTCAGAGTATTTTGTGAAGGTGAAATGCTCACTTCAGTTTCTCACAGAAGGGCACACAAAGAAGTAAAACAGCTTACCAAAGGCGGCCTCTCGGCAGGGATGGTGCCGTGGCAGAACTAGGAAGACCTTCCTGCTGTGGCAGTCCAAAATTTCTTTTGCTTGCTTTTGCCAGCTAATGCAGACTGAAACCTGATGTAATCTGCAAGCACTCACCCCTTAATGCTGCTTTATAAAAAAATGTTAATTTAAGACATCAGAAGTGCTTGGTTTAATGTTTTTCTGTGTAGTGAGGTAGAATACTGGAACATTCTTGCTACTTGACAGTGTTTTCTAATGGCTGTGTCAGGAGCTGTGATGGTATTTTTTTTTCTAGTATTTTATAACTTCTTATATACAAATGATAGCGTAGCCGGTCTGTTTTAAGCAAATTTCATCTTACTAAGCAGCAAGCTAAAATACACATGCTAAGATGTCTCTCATCTTTCAGATTCACTTATGTGAATAAGGAAAACATGTTCTCTTATTAGGGAAGTAGAACTTAGCTAAAAGTTAAAATTTTAATGGAAGGACTGGACTGACACTGTTTGACTAAATTGTTACGATAAAACAAGCCACACAGAGCAAGGTTTTAGCTGAATCAGAAATGACTTAATTGCAGTTTTTATATAGTTCAAGGAATTGTTCCAATTTGTGAAATTAACTGTTAAAACAAACATTAAGTTAGTTGAGGTCTCATAAGCATTAAACGTTATGTGTTTAACAAAAAGAAGTAGGTTAAAATGCTGCTATTACTACTTTACAGCAGAAAGCAGAGCCCGGAAGCATGTGGTGGAGAGAACATAGAGCTTGCAGCTGTTTGAGTGCAAGTTTCAAGACATATGTTCCCAGGTTTCATTGTTAAGTTAGAGGTGCTTGGAAGATGAAAGTCAGTCTATTCAGGTTGCTTTGTTATGAAATCTGTGTGGAGTGAAATGAAAGTGGGTCTGTGAATAGGAGGCACCTAGATTTATTTTTTCTTAAATAAAACTGGTAAAAGCTTTTTCTACATTCTGAACTTATTTAAGCAGGAAGGATGAAGCAAAAAGGAATGGCATCCAAAAAATTCTTTCAATCCTTAAACAACTATGAATCTGTGCTCAAAACCCTTCTGAATGTCTTTGCTTAAACCTCCTTGAAAGGCAAGAGGCTGATCTGATAAGCACCATTTCCTTCCTGAGGATACGAAATGGAAGACCCAACACCAGTATCTTGTAGTGTCCTCTGTTCTGTCCTTGTTAACAGAGCAGAATGAATATCCATTAATCTAGTTTGCCTTTTGATTGCAAACGAGATAATTGTGTCCTGTTCTTTGAACACCTCCTTTTTGGTTTTATGTGTTAGAGTATGTATGTATATATTCATTATTTCATACATAAAAATATTTCCTCTTTGTAATTCTTACCATTACCTGGGCTTACAAGCAGATTTGTAATCACTGAGCTCTGAAGTTTGCCTCTTTGTAGCCCGCTTGCAGGAAGCTGCCTGGATGTTTTGTCTGAGGTTATAACTTGTATGTCATGCTGGTCTTGGACACAAATCACATCACTCCTCAAAAAGACTGAGGAAGTCCAGGGATGCTAGTTAGAAGCCCTGTGTTACCCGGAACGTGGTGAGGTGGACTTTAGAGTGGGAAGAGCAATTATCAGCTTTCAGGATAAACCTACTGTCATCTAAATAAAAAGACAATAAAAAGTGATATGGGAGGAGAGAAGCACTAGCGCTGCTGGGCAAGAGTTCCTCCTCCAGGATTGCCACAGAACATCTAGGGACCAATGTTGAGAAGCAGATTATTAAGCTTGCTTATCTCCTCCAGTAAAATACATTATGTTGGTTTAACTTCTGCTTGATATAATAGAACAATAATTGTCAAAATGCCAAAGTAATAGATGAACGCTGGCAGTCATATGGGTACTGCTGCAGGCAAGATCATCATCGGGGGAATTTCAGTGGCGTTTTTATCCAAGGGTATGGTTCTGTACATGGCAGGGGGGTTGGAACTCGATCTTTAAGGTCCCTTCCAACTCTAACCATTCTGTGATTCTGTGATTGTATTTAACACAGGCCTGGGGCTAGCTGTATGACAAACCGTTTCACCAATATTAGTCTCAAGTGGGGAGTTATATCTAGGAACTAATTTTTCTTTTATTACTCTCAAATACATAGTGTGTCTTTGTTCCCTTGGAGGTGTAGCATCAAGTAAGAAACACCACTGGCAGACAGAAAAGGATACTAGCATGTCACAGAGAAGAAATGGATACTTTTTTTCAAAGCAAAACTCTTGGTATCTTTGAGAGCTGTCCTTTTCTCCCAGGCGTGGTTTCCTTTTCTGCTTCCAGTGATGCTAGAGCATCCAGAAATGCTCCAACATCTTCAAATAGAAAGCTTGCTACTATTAAAAAAAACACAAAAGTTGAGATGTTCCTAATCTTCTCTTAGGCAAGGATAGCTAGCTTCTAAACGTCACTTTTAGATTTTGCTGGGTGATGAGCTATGCATCTAAGGCAATAAAGTATCTTAAACATTCTTTGGCAGAATTTTTACATGCTTTTGCAAGTGTGTAAAAACTGCACTTTGCTGAGCATCCGGCTGCAGTTGTTTAAGGATAAGTAAAAGAAACTGGGTATGTGACAGTTATGCTGCTCCAAATATATAACTTGGGATTCATTTATAGCTTCTGTGGTCAAAAGGAAAAATAGGTAATCAGAACACTCCAAGAGATAATTAGATTTCTTTGGAAGAAAGACTTACTGATACATGCAGTTCTAGGTACAAATTGCAAATTATTGAGCTGCTTTTACAAAGCAGAATTAATGCATGAAATACGATCTGCTTCTTTCTACAAATCCACATAGACATGTGAGGATATGAAAACAGGTAAAAGCCACCATCTTTCACTGTATCAAAATTAGAGGTATTATTGAAGGCATGGATGTGGATTCTGAGTATTTCTGTTAATATGCAAGCCTCTGGTGTTTGGAGAGAAACGTAGAGTACAGTTTAGTGGTAGATCTAATCAACTGGTACATGAACAATACATTGTATTTTCTAGAGGAAATCTTTAATTCTTAGACTGCTCTCTTTCAGTCTTTGCCTCAAATTATGTATCTCGGACAACTGAAAGATGCCAAGCAGAAAGTGCCTGTTTAAGGTTCAAAAAACGATCTTTTGACTACCAGAGAAATGTTGTGGTTCTCCATATGCTTTTTTGGTAGTGATAAATGGAAGACTGTGTTATATGACTTTAACTTTCACTGAACTTGAACCAATCTTGGTGTGGCCTTCTAACATAGGGAAGAGTGAGAGCATGTGAGAGACCCTGGATTTTATGGTTTTGGAGAGCCAATTCCTACTCCTCTCAAAAATCTCCATGTAGGAGCTATGGAGGGGAAGGACCTTGTGAGAGAATAAGCTTTTCCCTTATGTTATTTACCTCTTCTGGAGTAATTCTTATATTTTAAATCTCAAAGGACCAAACAGGTGTAGTATCTGCCTTCACTGTCCTGTAAGAAGTGATAGTCAAAGTGAATCTAGTGGCTCAACCTCTATTTTTGCCTTCTCGCTGTGCTGCTTGGCTGGGACAAGGAGCATGACAATTAAATTCTCAGGGATGCATGTGAGTGCCCTGCCATGAGAGAAATCAGTAATGGCATGTGGGCTGTGTATATAGGTCTCAGTGAATGCTGCTGTTCAAAGATAGAGCGAGCATGTATGGAGCATGTGCACATCAGAAGCACAACAACAACATGATCTCACCCCCAAAAATGCCAAGTCCAAAAAAATATAAGGAAATATTTATTTTTGTGGTAGACTTAATACAGTTGGAAATTTCAAATACAGATCTTTATTGGTTTGTGTACTTTAACAAACGCTGAAAACAGTTTTAATTTGCAGCTGGGTTAGAATTGTGGTGATACCTCACTAAGAAGCATTACACTACCCTTGTGAAAAGAGGGAGTAGAAATTACTCTAGCATATGGCTCATAGTGGAGAACTGCATAGTATATTACAAAAGGGCAGCTATTTAATCCTGCTGTTGATGGAGAAGTGTAGCATCTGTGCTGCTTTATGCTTTGGCCATAAAGGACTTTATTCCTGTATTTGCTAGTCACATTGCTGTTGTGAGGGTGACAAGAATGTGAACAGTATTTTATAATTCTCTGCACTTGATATTTACTAAACTTTTTTTTTTTAACTTTTCAGGTTGTCCGTCAGATGATGTGGCTGATGGATCATATTTTTAAGTATACAAACTTTGGCATTGTGTCTCTAATCCACGGAGACTTCTTTATAAGACAGGTAAATGGAAACACATAATAGTGCTTTGATTTATCCTTATATTTGGAACACTGTGGTGTTTTGGGATTTACTTACTCATTATATCCTGGATTGTTTGCAGAACGAAATAACTATGTATTTGGGTAGAGCTTTCTTCTGAAACTGTTTTTTTTTTCCAAGCTCCTTTTATTATTTGCCTAGACACGAATTTTTATGGAACCCAGTTATGATGGGAGCTTTTTATGAGATGTGTACAAGCAAAGTACGTGGACAGTCCTTTTTGTCTGTCTGCTTCTGACTGCCCAGTGTTGGTGCCTGCCTTCTTTCCTTAGTAACCCTGAAGCTGTGCAGTGAGTCTGGTTAGGTCACTGTCCTGACTGTCAAAGTTTCAGATAAGAAAAGGCAAGACCATCCCATTTGATGGTGACGTGGTAGTACACCAGTTTAAGGTGGTGACGGACCTGCATAAATAGTAATTAATTGATTCTTGAAAGTTAATTATTATTTGAGCATCAGGAAAGAATGTGTGTTGAGCCCAGCATCTCAAATGTTAAGGAGTGAAAACCTCAGATTATTGCTTACAATTTGGGGTTTTGTTGTTTGGTGGCTGTTGATCAAACTGCATTCTAAAAGTAGAAACTTGGAAGTACAACAGAAAGCTTGAACCTGCTGCCAGTTATGTGAACTGTGGCAAACAGCATTCACATTTCTTTCCTCTCCTTGTTTTTATTTGTCTGGACTTAAAATGTTTGGGCAGACAGAGATTTAATGCATGTTCACTTTACAGAGAAGGAAAACCTAATTTACTCGGAATGAAATAAAGAAATACTTAATCACAGTTATATACAGCTAAAGTGAGATTTCTCGCTAAGACTAGAGGCATGGTTAGAAAACCTCAGGCAAAATTAGATAATAAAATAAAGGTCTCTAGAGATAAAACTGTGTACTGTGAAAGTATGGAAAGGAACAGGGTTTGACACTTTGTAAAGCATAAATCTGTTTCAGTAGTTAAAATTCTCAAGATACACATTTTGAGGTACATATGGCTGTCAGCTTGTTAATTGTAACTTCTGATTATGGTGTTGCAATTCCAGTTACAAAACCAATTTATTACTGAGCTGCAAACACTAAGGCTTTTCCTCATCTTGGTGAAGGGGCTGAGATATGCAACATTGCAAACAAAATGATGTCATCATGAGTCTAAATATAAACCAATTGAAAATGAAATGTTTCTTGGCTGTTAGTTAGCCTTTGGGTGTAGCAAAAACATGGTGAGTGAGTAATGATCCTTTGCCTAGCTATAGAAAGGTCCTAGTAATATTTGGATGAGTAGATACTTCATTTTTTCCCCTGTAAAAGAATGTAATTTGATCATGGTGCAATACATCCTGTTTGTTAAAAATGTACATTGGCTTCATTTTCATGAGCAGCACCGATTGCAGTTTTAGGAATGCTTCTGAGGTCTACTAGAAGTTGCCTAGTGTTCCCGCCCATTGAAAAGTTTATTGGAAACGGAGAGTGTCAGTTTCTTGCCATTTTGGTGATGCAAAGTGCATGGCATCCTGAAGAATGTCAGCCGTCTGCTGCTACCTGTTTTCTTCCCTCTAAAGGAACGAAGGCTGAACCTGTTCCCTGTGGTGGTGAGCCATGGTCTTCAAGAATTGGTTGTAGAAAGGAGCTGCTTCTCTATGACTGACTTTGTCTTCTTTCTGGAGAGTCTGTTAATTGCATTTTATCTTCCAGGACTCTTTAGTATTCCACAAGTCACGGCTGCTTTTAAACACCCCAGTAGATTTTTCTGTATTGCAGCAGCATCTTAAACCTCACGTTATTTGCTAAACAGCTATTTCTCTGCCAGTTGTATTCATTAGGTTTGTTTTGATTTTGGAGAGTTCTCATATCTAATGTGAAAAGGTTAGCATTCACTGCTGTTTTTTTAACTGCTGTGCTATCCTGGAGTTCTGTGGTCTGGTGAGAAAGGACTGTTCTAACTGAGGGACTTCTATGTTGCTCTTTAATTGCATTAGTATGAGCAGACAAAGCTTTTTCCTTACCTTTCATGAGGTAAGTTGGAAGTAATTGCAGTCCTGAGATTTCAAAATCTAGGAGCAGCACTTTCACAAAACTTGTCTTCAATAAAATATTTTTTTTTGTTGTCTTCCATTCAACCCCACTCTTCCAAGCTGAAAAACCAACAACAACCAAAGTATGGAAGGTTTGTAGCAGTTTTGTTGACATTTCAGAAAATTAAAATCACCTCTGCTGAGGGATTCTTAAATTTTGGAGCTCTGCATCTTTAGACCGATGCTGCAAAGTCACTTTGGAGCACTTAAAAATGATAATTGATGTAAATTAATTCCTGTGAAAATTTTGGTCTCTTGCTTTTGCTGTGTGTGGAAGTAGGAAAAGATTGTTGTTGAAGATACTGAAGATATTTCTGCAGTAATTAAGGACAGATCTTACTGTCTTAAAAGAAAAAGTTGTGCTAATACATCAAAGAGGAGAAATGAATGATGGGGGTTTTTTTTGGTTTTTTGTTTTTTTTTTCTCCTTGGTCTTTCAGGTTTAATTATCACTTGGCTATATCCTTGGCTATATCCTAGCTAATTATCAAACTAGAAGCTGGTGTCATACAGGACCTTGTTGGCTAGAGCATTTTGTTTTTATTGTTGTAGGCTTTCTTTAAGTTCACACAAATAAAATCACTTCCTACTCACCATTTTCCCTTAGGGAAAGGAAACCTGCAAGCATCACAGTGCAGTACTTCTTGTTTGTTTGGGTTTTTCCCCTTCTTTCTCAAGCAATAAGTGTTTCCATCAGTGTGCTGATTTCAGTTGAGACTAAGCATCCAAGCAGCACAGATTTGGGAGAAATCTGTGGTTCTGCTGTGGTAACTGAACTCAAGCCTGGTCTCGAGGCCCGATTGTGTCTTTTGGTACCTCTGCTATTCTAATATGAGATGAGGGGAGAGGTGTGTGGAAGATATGTACATAAAGCAAAGATACAGTTTGGCTTGCAGACATTACTGAAGTTACCTCCAAATCATAGCTTGACCCCTAGATTGTCTGAGCCAGCAGTGTGCCCAGGTGGCCAAGAAGGCCAAAGGCATCCTGGCCTGTATCAGGAATAGTGTGGCCAGCAGGAGTAGGGAAGTCATTGTGCCCCTGTACTCGGCACTGGTGAGGCCTCACCTTGAGTGCTGTGTTCAGTTCTGGGCCCCTCACTACAGGAAGGACATGGAAGTGCTGGAGCGTGTCCAGAGGAGAGCCACCAAGCTGGTGAGAGGTCTAGAGAACACGTTGTATGAGGAGAGGCTGAGGGAACGGGGCATGTTTAGTTTGGAGATGAGGAGGCTGAGGGGGGACCTCATTGCCCTCTACAACTACCTCAAAGGAGGCTGTACAGAGGTGAGTATTGGCCTGTTCTCTCAAGTGAATAATGACAAGGCCAGAGGAAATGGTCTGAAGTTGCGGAAGGGGAGGTTTCGAGTCGATATTAGGAAGCATTACTTTGGTGAGAGGGTGGTCAGGCACTGGAACAGCCTGCCCAGGGTGAGCCACCATCCCTGGAGGGATTTAAGAAACGTGTGGCTGTGGCACTTCAGGGCATGCTCTAGTGCCCAAGATTGTTTGTTTTTGTCTGTCTGTGTGTGGGGGGGGAGGTGTGTGTTGGTTTGTTGGTTTTTGGGTTGTTTTTGTGGTTGGACTTGGTCTCCAAGGTCCCTTCCAACCATGAATATTGTGTGAATATTCTGTGAATATTGTCTTTGCTGAATTCAATTTAGCAAATCCAACTTGTGGCCTAGTAACAATTAGAGAATTCTGTAAATGCATCCTCCTGTTACGTGGAGTTCCCATTTACAGTGTGGATGTTTGCAGAGAAGTTATCAAATCAGGAGCTTCATCCTCAATTTCAAGGGCTTTTTTTCAGCCTTTCTGTAAAGTGGCATTGACTCAGCCACCAGTGAGTACTCTGGGAACAGTGTTTTGTGTTGTCATAGAGATTTATTTGTATCTCTGAAAAGAGAGAGAAATCATAGAAATGTAATAATTATCTGTCTTAATGTTATCTCTTTTAAGCATTCATTTTATTTAGGTGATGTTTTATCCTTATAGGGAAGAGCACACCGTGACCAGCAGCTTGTGTTACTCAAGGAGCATCTAGAAAAATATTACAGAAGCCGTAATCGGAAATGGATTGTTTTATTTCCAGAGGGTGGCTTTCTTAGGAAAAGGAGAGAAACAAGCCAGGCATTTGCCAAGAAAAACAATTTGCCATTTCTTAAACATGTCACCCTGCCGAGGCTTGGGGCAACACAAGTGATTCTGAAAACGCTTGTAGCGCCGCAAGAAAATGGAACTCCAGCAGGTGGAGACGCTGTGATAAAAGGTAAAGACCACTTCACTCTTGAGAATAAGAAACAAGTTGAATGCCCAAGATCAGAGTTAAACAAAACATTTTGTGTTTAATTGGTCTCTTTAAATGTCAAATACATCCATAATGCACCATCGTTTTATAAAAATGTTTTCGTATTTGCTTTTAGTTCCACTAAGTTTGTTTTTTATGTTGAGAAACACAAAAAAAGAAAACTTCAGTTTTCTACACAGTGTGGCTGCATGAATGTTTGTCTTGATACACGTGATGGGTAGAGCAGATACTGGAATGAGCACTCAGAGTGGATAAGAAGGTGGGCTGCTCCTTTCAGCACAGTTGATGGTTTGCACAGGCTTATGGTTGTATGTAACGATAGTAAAATTATTTCTGGAATATGCGAACTATGTTCAGATTTTCATTCCTGGCCTTAAAAGTTGCTTTGCATCCAGAACTGTTTACTTCATTCCTCTTCTTGAACTATTTTCTGTTGAGTTCTTCTATTCTCTAGAGGCTTTTATGATGACTGTCCCCTTTGTTGCTGGAGTTCCCTGTCACTGATGACTAGATTTGAGGGATTGTTCTGGTTCTCTTACGTTAGAAGAGTTATGAGGGAATAAAAATATTCCTGTAGCATTATTATTCTGGGACACCTGGACTGTAGGGTGGAGTGTAGCTGGGATATAAACACTGCTTGTAGTTATAGGACACGGGCTTTTAGTCTCTCAACTTTTAAAATTAACTTCTTGGCATGTTCAGCGAGTGGGGTTAGATCTTGCTTAACCTAGTTGTGGATTTCTGTTACTTATTATAGAAACAATGGGCTGGGGGTTTGTGGTGGTTTCTTATTGATGGGTGGTGCTGGTATTTTCATAGCCAAATTGTAATAATTGTTTAGCAGTTTGAACCAAAGATGCATCCTAATAAAGCCACATGTGGAGATGACTTGGGGTTTTTTCTGTGCTGAAGTTCAAATTTCAGGGTTAGCAGGAAGCCTCATACAGAAATTGCTTCCAGATTTTTAGTTTTGAAGTTAATCTTGTCAATGTAGGAAATGAATGGAGATGAAGTTATTGCAGGAGTGAAGATTTTACATGAACTGAAAATCAAGCTGTGGAATGCATCAGAATTGCTTCCTTTCAGGTTACATGCAAAAAAGAAATGCTGAAGAAAGCCCTTGTTGTATTAGAAGATTTTAGGTTTAATAGAGAAACAGAGCACCCTACTCCTTGTTAAAAGTTACATTATATTTTAAGGAGAAAAGTTTGGCCTGTTTCTGTTCTATTTATTCCTGTCTCAAAGGCAAAAAGGTATGAAAAGTAAGTAGTTTCCCAAATGTGAATTACAGGCCTTCCAGTTCTGGAAGGGGACCAGAAGCACTCGTCAAATACCAGTTTTGTATTTCCATACTCTTAGATTGCTGTCAACTTAGCTGAACATCAAACCTGGCTGCTTTTTTTTTTTTCTTTTTTTGAGCAGTATAATTCGGACTCTTGAGAAATGAGCATTTGACAATAGTTGACCTAACTGACCTATTTTATTCCTAAAAATAAACAGAGGTACAGTGGAACAACATCTGTCCATCCTACTCAAAAGACAGAAGGAAAGATAAATGGGCAAGAATAGGAAAGAAGTGTGTGGGTTTAGGTATCATTCTTTCAAAGTAATGGGCACGAAAGCATAATAAAAGGGATGAAAAAAAGAAGCAAAAGTAAATTTTATATGCTAGGAAAGAGTACATTTGAATCTGAGGTGGTTTAAGTTCTCTTTTCTCTTAAGCTGACAAAAATGTTTCTAGCATGGTAAAACTTCCTTTTCAGAGATGTATGGAAGGTTAATTCTTGATTTATGTCTTGTCTAAAAGATTCATCCTCTGATCTGCTGCCTTCCAAATGCTTTTGCTGTACTCTTGCCACTTCAGAGAACTTTGAAGAATGGTTGTTCAGTTAAATGAAATAACATTGTATAAATTGATATGGTTCTATTATAAAGTTAGAAGCCTAAGAAGTTAGTGGTTGTCTTTACTTTTTATCTCTCTTATCTTTCCCTTTTTTTAACCACATGAAGAGAAACCTTGCTTAGTGAAATCGAACTTTTCTATGTCCTTTCTGGGTTACCATCGTTGACTCGTGGGTGGCAGAATTAGAGGTAGTATATACAGTAAAGCTTTTGCCATTATCTTGCACAGAGATTGCGTATAAAGTTTTTGTACGTTATTACTGTAGTCCTTTGCTTGGGAGGTGGCTTGTGTGTCGGTAGCATCACACTTGAACTTCATGGTTCACTGAAAACAATTTTCCTCTGCACCGCTTCTCCTTGTGCTCTATATTGGCTTAGTTAACAATGCTAATGGTGTCCTGGGTTACCAAATTATTCATTGTACTATAATAAGCTTTCTTCTCCATTATTTATCATATTCTCAAGCTTTAATGATAATGATAGGGGTTCACCACCCTTCCCCACCGGATTTTAGTTAAATTGGTTTAAGAGTATCTCCTCCTCATCAAAAATTATGTCCCCTTCCTGTTGAGTTTCCTGGGTGGCTGTGTTGTGATGAGTCATGATACGCAGTTGTGGTGTTCCTGAGTGCTGTCACTTTATTACTACTTTATTTATTTATGAAGATCCTTGTAGCCTTTATACCATTGTAGATTTTATATCATTCTACTTTCTCAACTGGAATGGTGTATAATACTGAGGAAGAGAAGAAAAGATGACAAGAGCAAGTGGAATAAAAGATGGTTCATTCTTAATATACCTCTATGCTGCACCCTAATTTGGTACAAAGCAGGTTGCATACAGATGTTTTATCATGTGGCCCCCTGCTTCCCAGCCACTAGCTTGCTTTTGTGCATCAAATGTCACTGGAGTTACAGCCTTCAAATAGCAGCTGAAGAATTGTGCAGTACCTAGATGCTACATCATCTGTCCTTCTTCTGTAAGGTCTCTAATCTGCTTTTGGTCGTCCCTGGTGGGTTTGCATTGTGAAGCACGACTTCAGTAGCCTCCCCAAAATTTCATTAGTTTTAATTATGATATTAGTATTCTTAATATCCGATCCCTTTTTCAGTTTATTTTTGTGCTAATTTTGGATTTCAAACAGTTTATTACCTGATTCTCCCTCTGTAAAGTGACAGGAAGAACAAATGTTCCTGAGCTAGACGATCAATGCTATTTAATTATTCTTGTACTTAAACTGATCAGTTCTTTATCGGTTGTTTTTCCAAGGCAAGCAGCCTCTATTTTCTTGATTTCCTCCTCCTAACAGTTTTCCAAACCTTCTTTCATGTTTAAAGTCCCACGTACTCGCCTTCATTAGGGTGAAATTTAACTTACTGGCGGTAAATACTAAGTTAAATGACTAAAACAGTTGTTGCTTTTGCTGCCTTTTGAAGCACTTGTTTAATTTTAATGAAATTGTGCAATTCTATTCCTAAATAAATACAAGGATGGAAAAAACACATAGGAAGGGCAATAATATCCCTTAATGGCTGGAGTGCTTTTGAAGCTAGAAAGTCCAGACAATGTAGTTAAGCGGTGTCTGTCCCTGAAAAGAATGGTGTAAGTTAATTGTGGTGTCTGCTGAAAGCTTCCCTCTGGGCAGATGTGCTGTGCCCCCCAAACAGAGCGCTGCTGCCAGCGCCTGCGTGCCAGGAGAAGGCTTTAGCACAGGAGAGAAATATGGGCAATATAAAAATACTAGACGCACAGACATCATCCTCCTAACCCTGTAGGGACCAGTGTGTGTGTGTGTGTGTGAGGGATTGTTTTATGGTTTTGTTTGTTTGTTTAATTTTTTCATGGAACACTTAGTCTTGCAACATAGTTGCAAGTACAGTTGTTTCTTCAGTGAATAAGAATTGATCTTCTTGTGAGTTTTAGAACTAGTAAAATGTTCTAAGTGCTAAATGGCTGGCAATTCAAGGGAGTTTGGAGAAATTGTTCACTGAAAAGGTGTTTTCCAGAGCTTATTTTTGGTCAACCTTTCTCTAGGATGTTGAGTTTTTTTTAATTTTACTTTATTTTACTATGCAGCAATTTTTTGTCTGATAAGAGGTTGCTGTGAGCTTGGTTAGAGCCGTATTGGAATCTTATCTTGCTGATTTCGAATGCAGCACAGTACATTCGGTTCTGATTCTTTTTCTCAGAGAAATTCAATTTTCCCTTCTGCAGAGCTGGACACTGGACTTTTTTTTTAATCAAATTTTTTGATTCACTGTTATATGAGGAATGTGACTTTAATAACATGTGGGAAGGGTTTTTTTAATCCTGAAAATGGGGCTTCTTGTTTTTGTTCCAGGTGATTTGTAATGGAGAGATCTTGGGATAATGTTGAAGTTCAGTCTGAGAGCTAATCTTTGGGAGAGGAGTTAATTTTAAGGTCAGTGGTGACACGAGGACAAGTAGAGGGCGAGCAGCAAGTTACAAGAACACGTTGCTGTGCAGGGGAGGCAACGGCCTCTTTTTGGCTGCATTCAGAGTGATGTAAGTGTGCAGGAAGCCACACCTGAACACTAGTGAGTGCTAGTAAATATTTTTCTTTTTCAAGTGGAAGCTGTGGTGCTCAGGTTCACGCCTGGCTGTTGCATTCTTTTCCACTCCGGATGTAATCTGGCAGTATCGCGCCATCCAGAGCTGGGCTGGGGGAGAGGTTTCCTGCTGAAACCTGTCTTTATAACTTGCTTTTTCTCCAGGGTAAACAGTGTTGGTGCGCTGGCGGGTTTGAAGAGTCCCGCGCCTAGTCAAATCCTGCTTCTAGCATTGGTTGAGAGTAACTATGGGGAGGACACAGAGGGAAGGAAGAGAAGCCCCAAAACCCACTAAATTTGTGATTGTAGACAGTCAAGTATCTTCTGTGAGAGGACCATAGAGGATGACGGAGCACTGAATGTCTTGAAGACGCTGATGGTAAGTTGCTTCATAACTAAATATGAAGCAACTTACTATCACTGAATCCACAGCTAGCATAAAAACAAGGAAGAAATAGTTATGGAGTGAGTTGGGAGTTTGTTAGGAGACTGTTTGAATTATATTTTGATTTTTTGTCTAGGCCATCAAGCTGCTGTTAGGTGTGATTGTTCAGTCTTGTCTCGGCACTCATAAGACAAGTATGTACCGTTCATACTGGGGTACGCTATTGCTACGTGGTTTGGATGCAGCTGTGTAGGACAGATGCCTGCAGGCCTCTTTTGAACATTTACGTAATGTTTAAAAAGAATCAGACTGCTAACATTTTAAGGCAATTTGACAAATCACAATCCTCTACCTGTGCTGAAAGTGGCAAGCAGACCAGCACAACAGAAGGAAAACTAGTCCTCAGAGAGATCAGCTTAAATTTGGCCTCTGCAGCAGTTTCTTCTGCTGAAGTCTCTGGCAGGCAGGCTGCTCAATCTTTCAGCAAGTACTAGAAATGAAGGATGAGGGTGTCTTTTAATGGTAGGTAGAAATTTCAAAAGGCTGTCAGAAACATCTGTGGCTGTCTTGGCCAATCTGAACTTGGCAAGAGAAGTTCTTGAACAGGTACATGCAACTCCCTTTTTTTTTTCTTCCACCTACAAACACCAGACCTGAGATCCACACCGTGTTCTAACTAATGCAGCAATCTGTGTTCCGAGTTCCTGTTAGTGTGCCCCATTTGAAAAATAACAGGGTTTATTCTCATTCAAAGCTCTGCTTGGGCTTGAAAGCAGCATCCTTGGGTATACTCAGGGCTTACCCCTTTGTGGTGTTTGCCATTGTCTGTTTTGTTTTCAGTTTCAGGATCTATTAGAGCTTCATGGCTTTAAAATAAATATGCTGGTGAGCAGGGCACAACACAGTATAACGCCCCACAAAGGACTGCAAAATTTATTTCAAAATTTATTTTCTTAAATCCTCGGTGACTTAGGTTTCTATGGCAGTGTGAAATCTTGGATGATTATGTAAGGCTTATTTTAAACCAGAGTGTGCAGAAATATGCCTGTGACTGATTTGATAGCACGTCTTGGTAATTGCCCATGGAAGTAGCTGCGCTAAGACCTGCTTGCTCTAAAGGAAAGTCTATGGAGGCTGACGTTACCTTCAGAATTTTTTTTTTTCTCCTAACCTGGGGTTCCTGGTGAGCTGTCAGAGGCAGATTTTTCTCCCCACCCTGTCCTGGAAGGGGCTGGAGGTGAGTTTGGAGCTGGTCTGAGGAATCCATGCACCAACTCTGCTCCACAAAAGCAGAATGTAGGAAATAAGCACTTGGGAGGACTGCAGGAGTCTTCCCATAATGAAGTTTGAACCATTATCCACTGAAAGAACAATTTGAAATACTAGCTAAATATTTAATAAATGATTTTAAAACATTTTACTGTAAATAATAAGATAATGTGCCTGTATTCATCTGGCAATTTTTAATTGCAATTAATGATCTCTGTTGCTTACTCACTTAGACAATTTACTTGTCTTTATTCTTACTTTACATCTGGGAAAATAATAAATTGAACGGCTTTGTTCTGAAATCCATTTCTAAATGAATACTTCTGTGGATTTACTATTAATTTCATATTGGCTTTTCTCTAATACATTGCTACTTTTAAAATGAAGGACTCCGTAGTTAGTGCTTTTCTTGAGAGAGCCTTGACAAGCACTCTGTCATGATGCTGGCAAGCCTGGAGCCTCTGATGGGACCTCGTGTTCTCATTTCACGTGTCTGTCAGGGTTTTAAAATACTGTATTTCCAGAAGGTGACACTGGATGTTTCAGCTTGACTTGTGTAGCTTGCACTTGGTGAAGTTCTGGAATAGCGCACTGCATGCTGCTAATAACTCATAACCTAAATATTACGAAATAGTGTCTGGCCTTATTCAGGTAACAAAAATTGTAACGAAGCAGTAAATTCCATTGTTGATTTGACACCATGAAAACCCTAGCTGATTGTTTTACAATAGTTGATAGATATATGTGATAGCATTACTGTAGCTGCCTTCTCACACTTGATTAAATTAAATGCAAATTAAATGAAATGCAGGTGGAAACTCGCAAGTCACTCTCTGTATGTATGTTCTAGTTGGCATTAATAACTGTGGTTTATAGACTGTGCCTCAGGCTGTTTGTTGCAGCTTTCTTAATGTGTGTGGTAGCTCCTCTGTAGAATCTGAGCGGCGATTCTGGGCAAGACCAAACATCTCTCTAGCCCAACATCTTGTCCATGACCCCAAGTGGGTATTGGAGGAAGAGTGTGAACATGGCAAACATGCATCGTACTTCTCCCGCCTACTCTCCTAGCTTCTGAGGGTTTCCAGCGTGGTAGGTTTCCCAAGCCAGGTGGGGGTTTCTGCCTGTTCAATTAACCCTCCAATAGATTTCTTCCATGTACTTGTCCAGTCTGAATCCAACTCTTGGCATCCTTGACATCCTTTGGCAAGGGATTCCCCACAGTTTTATTCCCCTTGGCACTGCTTAACCCCAGCTGGCAAGTGAGCACCATGCAGCTGCTCGCTCACTGCCCCCCTGGTGGGATTGGGGAGAGAATGAGAAGAGTAAAACTGAAAATTCATGGATTGAGATAAAGACAGTTTAATGACTAAAGCAAAAGCCATGCACGCAAGCAAAGCAGAGCAAGGAATTCATTCTCTACTTCTTGGCGACGTGCCCCTCATTCCTGGTTTGCGTTTCGGATCTGCCTCTCTCCCACTTTGCAAACCTGTGAATTGAAGACATGCCATAGAGACGCCATGGCTGGGTTGATATCTGACCTTGACTATTGCTGGCAGTAACCTGTGTTCAGATTTAAATTTGGCTCTCCTGAATAATCTTCATAGTAAATATTTTCACCTCCTTTGATCCATTTTTCAGTTTCTCTTTATGTGGAGCAGCATATGAACATGTACCGGTATCAGACTTTCTGGGACCTTGTGGATGTAATCTCCTCCCCATTGTGAAAACTGACCATCTTCTATTTGTTGCTTTCTTGTCTTTAACACGTGAAGTGGTGTATTTCTTCTTCATCCAGTAACTCAAATTTTTAAGAATCTTTGAGGGATTTTTTTTAAAAAATGTATTTGAGAAATCTAACTACATTGTATGACATAAATCACCTTTACCCACTTGCCCTAACTCAGTAGCAAGGCTAATTGTCCAAAGGGGTCTGCGTTGCTGCTGCTTCATCAGTGGTCTGCAACTGTGGGCTCCTACAAAGGCCCAGTTGTAAATGTGCTTAAAGTGCAGACCAAGAAAATTGGATGTTTATTTTTTGAAGTTTTTCTTTTGGGGAATAGGGGGAAGTACCTAACATTTGGGCCAACATTTTATGTGACTGTACTCATACCCAGTGAGTGAACTTGTTCTATTCTGTGTACTACAATATGTAAGAACAACAGAAATAACTGTGAAGGTAAAATCTTGGACTACCTGAAGTTCATAAAGAGTATTTCTGTGCTCCATAATGAAATCTGGATTTGATTTTTGGCTGTCTTGTTTCTGTCCTATACCTCATGAAGTACTTTCAGATCAGTGACATGCACTTTCTGATTACTTCTAATATTATGTTTCTTTTTGTTCCTAGAGAGCAAATCCAAAGGCCTCCAGTGGGTGATAGATACAACCATTGCATATCCCAAAGGTGAACCTATAGACATCCAAACTTGGATTCTTGGCTACCGGCAACCGACGGTTACACATGTACATTACAGGTAGGACACAAACCTTCTACTCTTACATTGAATTAAAATATTAGAAAGTAGTAACATCATGTTTCAGGAAATCAGTAACAATGTCTCTTTTATGTGCATCATTTTTTTTATGGGCAACTCATATTATCTAAACACAACACAACTTTCTTTTGAAAAGTTCAGTGTCTATTCCATATCTTGGCACATTTAAGTTTCTGACTAATCTTCTGTGGCTGAGTGTAGTTATTGGGTATATATTTGATGGCTAGGTCATCATCTTCATTTCAGTGTGCTGGTAAACCCACCTTGACTCTTTTTTTAGTAATGGCAACACATTAAAAATCTCTGTGTTATTTAATAACAGGTTTCCTGAGAAATTATTATATATTGTATTTAGCTTTCTGATGAAGAAATGTTAACTTTTTGACTCAAAGCATGCTCTCAATAGTTCAGCTGAGCAACACTATGGAAATAGTGGCAAATCTCATTGAGACCAAGGGTGGGTTACTATTAAAATTTTCCTCCTCAGCAGTTGTCTCAAGAGCTAAACTAATGAAGACAAAAGTTGCATTTTGCTTTTGGTTTGCAGTTAATTGCAAGTCTGAAATCTCCAGAAATATTTTAACACTTTTCTTATACCAAATAAGTTGGTCACATTTTATCTCCAAATTGTATTATTTTATCTTGATTCCCGTTTGCTGATTTGGGGAGTTTTAAGATTTTTACAGTAAGCTTTCAGGTGTTCTTGTGCGGATCCCCTGGGTGGCAGCTTAACTGGGAATGACCTTCTCCAGCATCGCTGCTGTGTCAGTGTTGTGTGGCGCAGAGTCCAGGCTGCTCACTGGAGCTCCTTTCCACAGCCATGTTTAAATCTGTCTCTGCTTTTTATAGAAATCTGCCTTCAAGTTTCTCTGAAGGTGAACATACTCACACCCTAATTTACGTAAGATATCTTAATATCTACTGTACTTCATTCAGGTCACCTTAGTACTCTCTCAGATCTCTGGGATAATTGCAGGTTGAATGTATTTAGAATTTTTCTAAAGAGTGTTTCCAAAAATACTTGCTTTAAAAAAGAGAGAAAGTTATCTTAAGTTGAATTAACTTCCTGCTTCTAAATGTGTATATTTAAAACCTATTTTTGAGCATGAGCATAAAGATGATGTAAGCTTCCTTGCATTGAACTTGAATGTTACAGTTCTTGTAGTACTAAAATTCTAAGAAAAAATATTAGAAATTGTTTATTTTGGGTGTAGGCTTGCTGTTTTCTTCCAGAGGGTTTAAATCACTGGTTTAGACAGGGGTAATCTCTATTACTTTTTTTAAAAAAAAATTTTTGTTAGTTTTTTTTTTTTAAATAACCTCTCATCGTTAAGGCTGACCCTGTGAAAGCATTTGAGGTATGCCCCAAATGGAAAGTACCGCAGCGGCGTGTCTCTGAAGGCTGAGCTGGATGTAATACCTCTGAAATGAGAGCCGAGCGTCTTGGTTTTAACTGGAGCTTTGGCTAACTTTCCAGTCCTGGTGATTCTTAAATTGGCACATCGGGTTTAGGCACGTGTCCCCTGGGCTGTAAGGGCTTTAGCTGGATGCAGGGTGGCAGTTTTTAAGGGTGCATTTAACAAAGCACGTAAATAGGCAGTGGCTGAAAGACCTTCTGAGCAGGCATCGCGTCTGGATCACTCTTCAGGCAGGTGCTGATGGCCCTGGCCTTCATGAGTTTGTCTGATACCATTTTTAACCAGCTTATACTTGGACTTCTACAACTTGTAGCTGTTCTTGAGGGTGGCAGCCAGGAACGCTTCCTTTTTGCTGATGTTAATTAAGTTCTCCACCCGATGCCTTCAGTGGGTGCACCCTGTTTCCCATGTCCTGCCAGCAGTGGATGAGTCATTCCTCAGTGACACTCTCTATGACCTGTGATGTATTTTTTTTTACAGCACTTTTTCATATCCTGCCTTAGCTGTCCCTGTCCCCCTCCCAGCCCGATGAGTCTTCACCTATTTGGTGTCTCCTTACACAAAAGTCTTTCCCTGATTATCTTATTAGTTTTGTCTGTGCCTTTTCTGGCTCTGCTATAACTAGTTGGTGAGTTGACTGACATCCTGAATTCCCCGCAGTGATTTCAGGATCTCTTGCCAGAGTAATAATAGCTAATCTCAGAGGCTGTGGCATGCGTAGCTGCTGGTGCTTTTTCCTTCCCTGGTGTTCATTGCCTTGCATTTACTGGTATTTAATTTCATCTGCAACTATTGTCAGGTCCTTCTGCAACTCTTCTCTTTGCCTACCCAGAATAATTCTATACCCAAAAAATCATATTGCTTTTGTGTCCTTTTTTCTAGATTTAGCATATCATCTAGCTATGATATGGTAAGACCTTTTAATGTGTCTGTAATTAGAGCTCTAGCTTGGAATGAATACAGTAAATTTTCACCTTCAGGGTTTTTGACAATAAAATTTATTTTTAGATATTTTTGACTGGCTTTAAAAATATTTTTCTGTTTTACATAAAGGATATATTTATCTATGGCAGGATTAGCAGCGAGCAACTGAAGAGCGTGTGTAGATGAATTTACTCGTGTTGCGTCATCCTTTTCTATTGCTTATAAAGAAATTTTCCTGTTGGAGTCCTTTAAGGGCATTACAGCAACTTAAATTTTTTATTATTATTATTTTTTCCCAGATCATCTGACTTTACTCATTAGAAGGATTTTTTTAGCAGAATGCTGTAATGTGATGTGCACCTGCAGGGTTTTGACAACTTTGTCATGTATTAACAATTTAAACATAGTTGCTGGTACCACTGAAGAAGGTACCTGTGAAGATGGAGTCTGTGCCTGGGAAATGGGGGCTGGCGGACAGGAAAGAGTAGGGAACAACTGTTCTCTCACAGAGGGTTTCAGGTGTTAAATAAAAACCTACAGCTCTACTACCACTTTCTTGAACCTTCTCCAGGATTGGGAATCCGAATAATTGAGGCCCGGTGGGCTGACATCCATTTCTTAGAGCTTATTTTTGAAACTATGGGTATGGTCAGCAGAAAACTGTCTCTCAGGAGCTTTCCCTGTGTGCCTCCTAGGTAGTCATCTGAAAGTACAGCAATGCCTCAAGCCTGTTTCTCTGTTAGATCTTAATCAGGAGCAGTTCTGGAAAAACATCAAATCCTTTTATGGTGGTTCTGTCATCTTCCTTCTGCTCATCCCTGGCACTTCTGTTTGGAAATGCACAGCTACCTCTTAATGTGCTGAAAGCATCCTGGGAGGTTTGGGAAGAAACAGGGCACAGAAGAGCTGGTCACTCCTCAGGGCGGAGGATGATAGACCAGAGCTGTGTAGTGGTAAGGCTTGACAAGAAACCTACTACTTCGAGTTCATCTTCCATGTGGAGACCAAAACATTGCTGTAACAGAGCCACTAGAGCATCTGGAGTTGTCAGCTGGGAATGCCAGCACATATTCTGCAGGTCACAAATTCAAGGTGGTTCCTCAGTAATTCATAATTTTCATAACAATTGGGTATTAACTACTTTTTGTCCGTAACAGTGTAGGCAAGGATTAAATCAGTGACTGAGGTTTGAAAAGGCCTGTGCTGTGTTGAACTCTGAGTCGTCCCTTGTAAAGCTGGTGCGTTTCTTTAACTCTTTGAAACAAACTCAGTTAGCAAAGGAAAACCCAAAGTAAAGCAGATTTCATCTTTAAAAGATGGAAATGTCAGAAATGTCTTCTGAAGATGGAAAACATCAGAAATATTTCTATTTTTCTGCATTTGACATAGACATCTTCTGAAATTTTTCATGAAATGTGTATCAACTCTGTCTGGATTGTTGTTATTCTCCTCTTTTCTTTCATTTAGTGCAACAAAATGTTGCTCTTTGTTTGTAATTTGGAACGTCTTAGGTGATTACATTTGAAATAAATTTTAAGGGTAATTTTTAAATAACTTGGGAGACAAAGTTCTGCATGAGTCTGTGTGCTCTAGTGCACTGGCTTCTCTTCTTAACTGAGTTATAGCAGGAAAAAAAAAATAGCCCCTTTGGAAAAAGTGAAGAATAGTTTTGACCAGATGCCATCTGTAGTGTATGAGAGGAGAACTGGGATTTAAACATGCTTTTCCCCTTTTAGAGTAGCCCAGGGTGAGGAATTGATATATGACAGCAGTGGGGAAAAAGCAACATTTTCTGTGCTGCCTGAAGTGGAGCAGAGGAGACCGTGGAGCCGCTTTTGTTCTGGCCGCTCAGTCGGCCCTTTCTGCTCTTCCCTCCGGTCACAACCTGTCTCTTTCTGCCTTACGGTTCTGCAAATCTAGTGGGTTTTTTCCACATAGCCTGTCCTTTCTCTGCAGGATTATTGCTTTTTCATCCTACTTAGGGAGTGAGAGAGGACTGTAGAGGACACAGCAACCAGCCTTATGTTTTCATTTTTGGATGCTTTTCCAGCTGATGAAAATAGCAGAGAAGGATCAGTTTAATCCAGTAATCTTTTTTGTTTGTTTGTTTGAAAGCTCGATTTTGATAATGATTTGAACCTTGCTTTTCAAACTCCAATTTTTGGTACAAATGACACGTTTTTCAGAAGATCATCATTAGGCTAAGCTGCAGCCTGATTTTCCTCAGGATGTCAAAAGAAAGTTCCCTCAAAAAAGGTCAGTTACCAAGTTTCAGATTCTTTAAAACATGGTGTGAGAATTTACCCTTCTATTGATGAGTAATTTTCTGACCCTGACAGATATGTCTCAAAACTCATTGGAAACTGCTGAAAAACTGGGGTTTTTTTCTCTCTGAAACGTAATGCTCAAGGAAAATACCTAATGAATTTCTTCCAGGTCAAATGGCATTGGGATTTTTGGGGGAAATTTTTGCCCATCTGTTACAGCAGTAAGCACCAAAAAAAAGGGCTGGAAGGTGTAAGGCATCTCTAACTATAGAGGCATCACCATGAGACCTGCCTTTTAATGAATCTGTTGGAAAGGTTTGTTTCCTCTTCTGAGAATGGTTTAGCTTTATGCTTGGGTCATTTTGTGGTGTGCATTGATCATCAATCCAGATTTACTGCAGTTACACCCAGCAGAAATAAGACAAGTGCTTAGTGACATGGCTTAGTGATGTTGGGTTTTTTTATTAGAGTTGAATGATGATTGGACTAGGTGATCTTAAAGGTCCCTTCCAACCTGGACAATTCTTATGGTTCTATGGTGTCTATGTAGCAAAACCACATACAGGCTACTATTCTCACGTCCCACCATTTCCTCACAGTGGAGTTTGGGGATTATTTCTTTTCTTCTTACACCAGTCACTTTTTTAGTCTTGGTGTTTCTAAGCTGGTCTCCAAGTTTTTCTAGTAGTTAGATTACCCATGTGCTGCAGCTCTGTTGTCAAAACCCAAGAGTTAAAAGTTGAAAAAACCCCGAGTATGAAGTTTGTTGGATGCTTCGCTTCCCCTCAATCAAGAATTGCATGAGGTTGGGGTTTGGTTTTGGTGTTAGTTCTGGCTGGGGCATGCCCTCCTATGACCGTGTCCCACATCTGCACTGTGTGATGGTGGTTGTAGTCACTATCAGAGTGAAGTCAGAGGCAGCCACAGAGGATAACTGTGTTCATGCTGCATGGAAGTGCCACGCTATTTCCAGCCAACTCAGCTCTCTTGGTGCCGTAATGCGGATGAGCACCATGTCACCTTTCCTTTTCATACCATTTTTGTACTGTGCTGCCGTTGAAACGAGCTTTCAACTACTGAGGAAGTTCTTTTTTTTGTGTGTGTGTCTACATTAATGCAGATTTATTGAAATAAATGAGACTCCTGGCTATAAATAAGGTAGAATACATTGTGGTTGCTGAATGAGTTTTACAGAAATGTCAATGAAGGGCATCCAATTCAGCTATATATTTTAATACACTTTTTTACGCAAGTAAGTTATTTTTGGTCATGCCTGAGATCAACCAACAACCTCCATCATGCTAGGTTTATTTTTAATAGTTATTGAAACAGAAGATAATAGTATGATTTAGAATGAGTAGAGTGTAATTCAGGGTAGGACAGATGCTGGTTGCATCTATATTTAAAGTTAGTACTAAAGGGTGGTATCTATGAACTTTAGAATTTTAATAGAGAATAAAAGGTGGTTTCTTCAATAAAGACCATTTAAAAGAGATTAAATGTTTCTGAAAATGCTGTATTTCTGAAAATTATTTGGTTTCTTCGAGGAACGGCCTATCGGTAGGTAAGTCACCACCATTTCTTATGTATGCCAACATGTCTTTGGCAGTTATGTCCCCTTTTTTAAGGGACATAGATACCCATTTGTGTAGTGGTTGAAGAAAGTTGCCATCCCTCAGTCAGCTACGTGGAGTGTCCTGTGGCCATTGTCACCTCGCAGCTGCAGGGAGGTAACCTCCAGCTAGAAGATAATGCTTCATTACTGAGACAGCTTGGCAGACTCCCACCGGGGTACGTCTTTACTTCCACCACCACTTCTAACTTCTCAGGCCTGTGGTGGCACTGCTTTCACTGAAGCTTAGCCCCTTGCCCAGTTCCCCTTGGTGACAGCAAAACAGCTGTTTCCGTGATGAAAATTAGAGGAGGTATTTCCGTTCCATTTGAATTTTCTGGTCAAGTCATCTTATCCAGTGCTATTAAATTTCTTGTTTGCCACACCAGGAACGAAGGTGCTCCTATTTTCATGCAAGGAGAGCTTAGTTTTGTCTAAAAGCTAGAAAGACTGAAGTGCCCAAGAGAATCTAGAAGCTTCAGATAGTACGTGCTGACCTTGTTACTTGTCAGGACAGCTCTATGTGGTGATAACACTTTATTTTCCTGAGGAGATCAGCAAACGGTTTGCTTTTAGTGGCGTTAGATGGTAGATACCCCAAAGGTGGGGTAGAGCCAAGATGATGCTTACGCTGTGACCACGTTGACAACTGTTTACGTGTCCCATTGAAAAGAAGGAACTATTTTGCGTCTTTGAACACTAGACCTGGCAGACCCCACAGCTGAGGGTTGGGCACAACGCTGCTCCAGTCAGAGCAATGGCTTCCCACCCTTGTTGTGATGGGCTGTGCAGAATATTTTGTAACAGGAGGCTTTCTCAGGTACCTTTCCTGAACCCAGTCTCCTTAGAGGGTGTTCCTCTCAATGGAGATGCCATCTGAGCCATCTGATGGGCTGAGGATGATGATATGGGCAGTATGGTTAGTATAAATACAAGGAGGTTTAGCTTCACCTTACCTAGTTCAGGAAGGGCATGTCTCTAGCATTTAAGGATTATTTTTTTTTAAACATCTCATCTCTCATTTAGCTCAGTCATTAATAAGAATGTTCTACTTGTAAAAATAACTCTGGATAATCTAAAAGTATGTTTGAAAATGCTTCCAAGTACACCAGCACTTACTATTGCTAAATTGTGCCAGGTGGTATGGCATTATTGGAAAACCAGTTATTTTCCACTCTGCATTAATGCTCTTTCAAACTGGTATAAAAGTGATTGCTGCTTAAATGTTTAGGAAGCAGAGTTTATATCCAGAGGTTGAAGTACTCTGGTACTGCATCGAGTCATACAAGAGCCTGGATGGATTCGAGCAGGAAGACATTGTGCTGCGTTCCATTAGTCTCTCATAGTGTTGGTATCACTTAATGCTACTTTGCTACTCCCCACTGAAGTGCTAGCTCATAAATTGTTTCTAATGAGTATCCTGTAAGATCTTGTGATAATGTTTTCAGACTAGAGCGTACGTTCTTGGAAAAATACCAGGCTTAACTAGGCTATTGAGCTGTAGAGTTGTTACCCGTTAGGTAACTGAGAAGTGAAGGTGGAGGTGAAGAATATCAGCAGCTTACAATGGAAACTGTGTGTGGAGCCAAGTAATCCTAGACTTCTGTCCTGAGCCCACACACCCGCTCCCCTAGTTCTGAACCATCTTCAAACTTGCGTAAGCAAACATCTGTCCTTTGGAAATATACTGTGAAACACAATATTCCGTTGCTGAGTCCCTTTATCTCTTCGCAGCAGATAGGCAGAAGAGAGTAAAAATAGTGCTTGGCAACTCAGTTGTGTTTGGGGACAGAGAGTAAGCCTTTCTTAGTGTTACACGCTCAACAAAAATGGTCCTTTCTCTGTGGGTGTGTTTTTGATTTGCCTCAATGTGGTTTAATTTTAATCTGCTGTACAATGTCTGGGCTTCAAGATAAAGTAGTTCTTTGTTACCTGTCCTTGTCGTTGTTTTTGATATGCAGGCTGAGCGCTTGAACTATTTACTGGACCGCCAAATATTTAATAGTATTTGTCTTTGGCCAAAGACTTTTCTTCAAACTATATTTGGTTTCAAACTATCTCAAACTGAGGTAACAGCTGCTGATTTCTGGTTACTGAGACCAGCTTTACTACAGCACAGAGAACTCCGCAGGGCGAGAGGGACGTAGGTAGAATTGCTACAAAGGCTACAGAAATACCTGAGTTCCTGTTGATGCCATAGTTGAAAATAAAATTGTTCGTCTCCTTATATTGAAGTTCCCTCTGTATACTAGAGTGCCATTATTTTTAATTTGCTCATTGCAGCCATGCGTTGCTGCTTTTCTCCTCCACTTACAGTTTATTTTTCCATGGATCAAACTGAAAGGAGGCGGTACAAATTAACTGGCAACAAAGCAAGCAAAGATGTTGAAAACAGCAACAGCAAAAAAAAAAAAAAGCGTTCTTCGGAAGTGTCTTATTTCTGTACATTCTTATTTCTGACATTCCCGTATCTGTTCAGACACTTCCCACATGATTGTGGTGGTACTTCAGATCCTTTCAGTACGATCACTCAAGACTGTGTGTAAAAAGAAATGAAAAATCCACTGATGAAAATAGAAGGAAGGTATGGACGACAGGGCAAATGGGAGCTCACCCGAAAAGAGAAACCTACAGTAAAGGCCTTACATTTCAGAGTGTGAGTTTTTCAGGCTGGGCCCATACACAAATCTCGTTTGCATTGGCCTCCCAGTGAAACACAGCAGACATACACGTTCTCATAAGTATCAGAAGGCACTTAGGTTCTGGTGAGGAGATTTCACAATTACTGTAAGACTTAAAATTCTATTTAGTAAAACAATCCAGTGAGATATGGTGGGTTATTTGGGGGTTTCTGTATGTATCTCAGTGAATTCTGTCCTGGATATCTGATTTTCTAAGTAGGCCTAGTATTCCATGTAGAAGTACCACAACATTGATAATTCTTTCATTGGGGTTTTGAAAATACAGCAGCAATATATTTGAGCACACTCACTCACATGGTCAGTTTTCAGTGTAAAACCTGCCTTAGAAATTTGAGGCATCCTTTGAAAAGCATGGAGGACTTGTTTTCTGGGATACAGAAGGGCTGTTGGTAATTAGTGATGTCATTACGTGGCTTCTGCCTCTTGAAGAACTGTTTCTGCAAAACCGTAAATGAACCTTCTCAGTCTTTTATTTCTTTCTGTTTCAGAGCGTGAACTTCATTGCTGCTTAGTTTGTATTTTTTTAAGGATAGTAATACAGTGTGGTGGTATTCTATTACTGCAACTTAATAGCTTTTATCAAATGCATTTGCTAGAAGCTAATAATGTCTATGTCTTCTGTGTGCATCTGGCAGGTAACCTGGTCTATTCCTGTTTTGTGTCCTTAATACCTGTGTGATCTGTGAACGGGAGAGACAATGAACCTCGCAGTTAGATTTATACCAAAATCTTCTCTGTGTTTTGGGGTGGGCTGAGGCAGAAGGGAAGATTGTTGTTCTTCACATAGAGAATGCATTTTCTAGGCTGAATTTATGTTTGTTTCTTCGGTAGGATTTTTCCAGTTAAAGACGTACCTGCAGAGCCTGAAGCTCTTACAGACTGGCTGTATCAGCGATTCATTGAAAAGGAGGATCTCTTGACACATTTCTATGAAACAGGTAGGATGATGTTTAGCAAAGAGAACAGTCCTTTTCTTACAAGGATCTCAGAATGATTTAAGAACATGTATGTGTTCTCCACACCAGTACAGTAGTTGTGTTAATACTAAAAGGGATTGAATACGACTCTTAGTGTGGCCATTTAGCATGTTCCTCTGGTGCTTGTACCGTTAGAGAAAACCGATCTAAGTCACCTCTGCAGGTCTAATGCAGAACCATAGTCCTCTCCTGCTTCCTGCGAAGCTGAACAGAAGGATGCTGTGGTTGGCAGGTGTGTAAGAATGACACAGGGCACGGCGTCCTGCTCTGCCGCCCCGCGCTGCGCTGGCACCGAGGTCACTGCCGTCATAACGTGCTTTCAGTGTTAATGGAGCAGAGGAGTCTAAATCAACTCAGGGCATTAATAACCCTACTGCAGGGATACTGGCAAACACGTGATTTAAAATGTCAGGTAAATACTTGGAAACTGTAGGTGGAGAAGTGTTTCCTCAAGGCCCTTTTTTTTTTCCATCCATGATAGTGAAGTATGTCATCTGCCCTCCAGCAGGTGTGTGCGTGTGTTTAGAATATGAATAGAGGATTTCATCATCATAAAAACCCCCAAAATCCAGAGAGGAAAAAATAGAGTTTTATTTAGACACACAGGAAAGGAAGTTTATCAAACACAGACTGAGTGGGAAGATTCCAGATGAAATAATGCAACTTGTCTCTGAAGAAAAGCAATCTCTTTGTTAGCAAGTGCCACAGTTGTTGAGGGGGAAAAAATATTCGGTCTCTTAAATGAACCAAGTTTTATATTCCAGAGTGACTATGTTAAACAAAGACACTACTTCTATTAACTAACTATTGCAAAGGCTGCTTTAGTTCAGTTTTGAGTGCTTCATTTATCAGTGCTAGTGCTTAAAAAGATTAATAGAATTCTTTAACAACCCGGAGTTGTATCTTGCTTTATGAAATACTGCTATCACTCATCCATCATTGATGGCAAAAGTCAGACCCTGCTGTATAAATTGCATCCAAATGCATATATTGGACTTTATTAGACAAATAAGTATGTGAATCTGTTTAAAACTACAAGTGTAGTTGTAGGAGGTAAGAAATGCTTGTTATTGAGACATTATTTCACAAACAACATTAAAATAAATCATACCCCAAAAAAATCTAACTAGACCAGGATTTCAGAGAGTATAATGAATATAATCAGATTTATTCATTGAAATGCGCTTCCAAAATAGGATAATTGGTTATAATTTGGCAATGTAATCAGTATGAATTAATAAGACATGTTTTAAATGGAAATGCTATGACATCGTACCTTATTAGGCATAAATTAGCATAATTTAAAGTTACTGCCATTTATGCCAGTTGAGAACTTGCTTGCATTGCTTTTGTTGGCTTGTGGCAGAAGTGCTGCTGCAGTTTCTAGAAACCCCCTGGAAAAGTCCTGAGGTTGAATGTGAGGGGGATCCCTGACAGGGCTCCAGAGCTGGCTTTGTGTTGACGTGTTACATTGTCTCCAGTTGGTGTGTGGTTTTTTAGACTTGGGGCTGTTTCAGCATTTTGATTTTTTAATTTTTTTTAAAATTTTTTTTTTTTTTTTTTTTACATGCACACTGCTTAGGAACTTGTCTCAGTCCATAAAGCTTACTTCATAAAGCTGGAGTAACGTTTCATGCCAAGTGAAACTTCAAAGTTGGTATTGACAATGTGTCATGGCTTAGGCTGAATTGGCCGATGATGGTGACAGATGCTCTCCCCCAACCTCTCGCTCCCAGGAGGAGAGGAGGAGAGAGAAAGAGAATTAGGAGTTTAGAAGGAACTAAACTACTTTAATGACATGTTAATAATAACAATAAAAAAAGGAAACGATGAAATAGATACAATATATACAAAAGTGTATCAAGCTACCAGGCTGACGCCACTGGGGAAGTTCCAGACTGGACTCCATGAGGGATGGGAACTGGATTCCAGCTCTGGAGTGAGGAACACATGGATGAGGGTCAAAGGCAGATGAACAGACAAGGTCCTCTTTGGACTTTGGCCATTGAGGAAGGAGGCTGACCCTTTGATCCCTCAGCTTTTATCCTGAGCATGGGGCAGATGGGATGGAATGCCCCTGTTGGTCAGTTTTGGGTCCCTTGCCCTGTCGGCTCCTCCCTGCAGCTAGGACCCCCCTGTGCTTTTCCCTTTCTGACCCTCCAGCGGAGCAAATAACTAAAGAAAAGTAGGGAATGTCATCCTACAGGGCAACAGGGAGGGGGGTTTTCACCAGTGCTATGGTTATACCAAATCAGAAACCTCATCTTGAAATTCTGTGTATGGGCCCATCATCCCCATTCAAGAAGTATGAATTGAACCAGGAAGAGGGACAGGTAATAGGTCCTAAAGTGATCAAAGGGAAGGAGGAGCCATTTCTGTGAAGGACAACTAAAAGTGCTCGGCCTGTCTCAGCTGGGAAAGTGAAGGATGCTTTTCTCTGTGAGATACAAGTCGGATTGGGAGAAAGGGAAGAGACCGTTGCTATTGGTACCAAGGAGAAAGGAAAGTTACTGAAACCAAAGGTCAGTGTTGGTACAGAAAAACAAATGGGCCATGGAAGAGCCAATGTAGCGTAGCGTGGACAAATAGAAGCTCAGCAGTGAGAATTACTGGGGAATAAATGGCGTGGCAAATCTGCCCATGGGGGAAAATCCGTATCGGTGAGAGGAGGATGAGACTCATCAAGGGTTTTCTTTTTTTTAATTTAAGAGCATTCATACAGGAAGAAAAGCTTTGTCTTAAATGCTTGATTGCAGTTCCTCCAGTGATTGCAAATATGAAGCATAGAGATAAGTTGCTTATGGTATCTAATTGCCCAAATTGTGTGGTTTCTAAGACTTAAAATTGACACTGCTGTATCTTTAGTCTTTGAATCATTCACCTCTTGTTCTTCACTGAGTAGTTGTGACTCCATCGTGCCGCAGCAAGTACATCATCTTCTCTGGCATATTTCGAGACTTTATATCCACTGTTCAGGATTAACAACAACAAAAGTAGTTCATATCATGTAGGCTTTGTGTATCTCGGTAAAATGTAATGCAAATTAACTAATATGCAAAATATGCATAAATATATGCAAATAATTTGCTTATGATCATAAACTGGGATGTATTCAGACACATTTAATTTAGTGTTCTAAGTCAGAAAAAACCAAACCAGGAGGAGATGAATTTGTTAGTTGTCAGCTGTATCTCCTGCCAGCCTTTCTCATCTGAACAGGTGTTTCAGTGCAGTCGCTCTGGAAAGCTGCGTGGCAGATGGCAGCGCTTCCTTAGTGGGTACAACTGACTGGCCAGGCAGTGTGCAAACAACATGTGGAAACTGTTGTTTAAAAAAAGCATCTGTATTTATATTTGCAAGAGGAACCTTGAGAACCTGTGTGTGTTGCTTCTTCACCGTACACAAAATCATTATCAAGCAGCTGTGCAGCATAATATGGAATCCAATCAATTCGATCATACAGATGTTAATAAAACTTCAAAAGTAACACAGAAAACGTAGTTGACAGTCAAATCTCCCTGCAAAGGTTGAACATAATGAGGATAGCTGCTTTTAAGGAACGCTTTGAAGGTTATGCTTCAAGTTTATATCTAAATGAAATGAAAATTGTTCTTAATAATGTTTTGTTTTTGTTTTCTTGAAGATAGCTGATAATGCCGGGGAATCTTTTGAAAGTTTAACAGCGTAATACAGAAGTAACCAATGAATTGTGTGTGGACGCTATTGCTGGGACAAACAGTGACAGTAGAGAATTGTGCATCAAGACTCCTGTTCCTGCTGCAGAAGCATTAAACGTGTTTTCTTTTCTCTTTTAGGAGCTTTTCCTCCACTGCCGGGTCAAACAAAAGCGATTTCTCGGGAGATGACCCTCAGTAACCTGTGGCTGGTCGGCATACAATCCCTTGCGTTTTTGTCAGGCGGGATGTGGTACTGCATCTTACAGTATTTTTATCATTGCCTATTTTAAAAGTGGAACGGGACCCGAGGACACAATGGGAATCCAGGCTCTTGGAAATGAGTATCTTGTTGTATGTGCAAATGTGAATATTCAAGAGTAAAGGAAAATACTGGACGGACTCTTACCTCTCTTTGGGGAAATTTTAAACTCCACTAAAAGTGAAGATGAGTAACATAGTGACCTGATGATGTATTATTTTAAGAATTGTCTGTATTTTTTAAAAATGTATACTCTCACCCACACTTAAGCAAATTCAGCATTTGGACAAAAGGTGCAATCGTACAACCATCATAGAAGAATGTCTGTGGCAAGAAAGCTCTGTCACCGCAAGTATTTCTTGGCATTGTAGTTAGAGCTCAGAAAATTCAGCAACTTGTCCCTTCAGTAGTCTGTGCAGCGTCGGTGTGGTAGAGATTCCTCATTTGCACAACACGTACTTTCTTGCAACTCATTGTGCTGGAGTCAAAGATGCTCCCCAGAGCTGGTGGCAGTGTCTTTGCGGCTACGCGAGTCAGCAGTTGTTGTATTAGACACATTGATCTAAAACCAAGACCCAAATAAGATCCAGCGTCAGGTGTGTTTTGTGAGGAGTCGGTCCTCAAAAAAAGCATCGCAGCATCGTAGTGTGATTAAAAGCCATCTGCGTTTGGTGGATCAGCCCATCGTTGCTGTGGTCTTACCGTCAGCTCTCCCAATTCCATGTGCTGCCAGTGTCTCGTATTATGAGGAAGCTTGGAAAATATAAAGTCACTCGGTTAATTGTCCCTTTGTGTTCAGAATGCAGCTCAACGGTCATTATCTGTTTTCAAAACACACTCTTAAAGGTGAAAATACAGTGAAGGAAAGACAGAAAACGTAGGGAATAGAGGAAAGGTCTGTTTGTCATACACGGGGAGCCAGAGCAATTCTATCTGTTTCTGAAGGTCTGCTGGTGCTGCTGGTGATTTTTAGCCACCTTTGTATTTTGTATACTGCAGTTCAACCAAGGTGACCTTTGAGTGGTTTCTAGAGGCCTTTTTCTCCCCGCTAGTTGCAACAGCGCTAAATATACTTGTGGGAGAGTTAAATAATTCAATGCCAACCATCTTAATGTTTTACTAAGGAGTAATAGAAGAAAAACTAGTTTCTTAAAAAAATAGGTGTAATTGCTATCATAAATCTCTCGGAAGACACTACTGCAAAAAAAAAAAAAGAAAGTATGGTAAATACTGTGAATAACCACATGGAGGGCAGTATTAATTGGCTTACCACCGTGCTGAAATCTTACTGGAAGGAGGATTGAGTTGAATTGAAGGGCAAACTGGAATAGCAGACACTCTGAGAGGTGTAACGTAGGAGACATTTGAAATAATGCCTATGATGTGCGGTCTTACTTCTGGCAGGTCTAGTTGGCATTGTGTTTATGTGATTATACACAGATTTGAGAGAGCTGTTCCTAAAATAAAACTAATCTCTCTAAATACAGACAGGGTAGCCAGAACTTCAGCTGTTGGCGTGCTGCCTTCTACAGAGTAATTTTACTGAGAACAAAGTAACCCCTCGGTAGTTTTGGCTCCCAGTGAGCAATATTGATCCCCTTCTCTCTCCCTCTCTGCTCCATGAATCCCAGCGGGCGGTGTGCAGGACACAAAACCCAGCCAGCGTTCCCTTTGCATACCAAAATATGAGGCCATGCCAATTTCCCCAATTTAACTGAAAAATCCCTAGTCAAAGATGCCACCTCTATCCCCCCAGAAGCAGTAGTTTTGCCCTAAGGCAGCTCAGTGGGATGGTTGCAACATGACCCATCATGGCAAGTTCCCCTGAACTTTTACTTCTGTAAAAGAAGCCCTGGGGGCGGGAGGCAACGGGGGGGTTTGCCTGCAGCTTCAGGTTTTAGGTAAGATGCTGTTTCCAAGTCCCATCTCTTTACACACACAAATTCTGGTGTAACGTAAAATCCATCTAAAAAGAGGTATGCCCTGAAAGGGAGGCAGTCATGCAAGTATTTTTTTTTTCCCTGTTGCTCTTGCTGAAGTACAGCTGATGGAATGAATGTATTTAATGTGCTGTTTCAAAGGAGGGTGTTGGGGCAGCCCAGCGCCATCACCGTGTGAGGGGCTGTGTCTGCAGCACATGGGCCTGCACGGACTCTCTGAGTTGCAAAATGCAGGTGAGAAGCTACTCATTTCTGTCCTCCCCCGGGTGGTTTGATCAGAACCACAGAGATGCCTAAAGCACAGCCCGTTTTGTTTTGAGCCAGGACAGGCCAGAGTGGTATAAAAAGGGAAGTTTCTATAAGCAGATTGCACAGCAGTAACTCACGTCAGGAGGCTGTTCATTATAGACCCTGTGAACTCCCTGTCAGAGCATATTGTTTTTTCAAATGCAGTCTTTTTTTTTTCTTTTTTTTTTAATCCAGTGGATTGCTGTCAATAGTGAGTGTTCACATGCTGCCTAAAGAAATTAGCAATGCGCAATAATATTTCAGATAATAATTTAATTTATCTGGTCCTGTTCATATTCAGTTTGTTCCTCTGTAGTTCTTACTATTGCAAGAGATCTGTTTTCAAGCACTGATTGTTGTTTTGGTAGGGTGAGTAAATAGTATTAGCTCTTGGGCTTCTTTCCTGCCTGCACTGGAAAATGTGAAGCGAGCCTGACGCGGCGTCTCCGTACGGCTGAGTTGCTGTAGATGACAGTGGAATGAAACCGTTGTTAACCAACTCCGGAGCACCCTCCCAGCATGAACCTGGATGCTGCTTCATGAGAGAGAATAAATTGGATAAAAGAAGTTTTTCTATGAAGGGGAAAAAAAAAAAAACACAAACATAAATTGTATGCAATATGTAGGAAATTCTGTGCTAAAAATACCGTGCTGGTCAAGACTGTTTGGAGCTCGGCAGGAGAGTCTGTAAAACCTGAATTCCTGTGGGTTGCAGTTCGGTTCTACCTTCTGGCAGTTGGTCAGCGATACAGGTGTCGTGGGCATTTTGCTGCCCCATCCAGGGGCTGCTGCTTCTGAAGAGTTCAAAATGGGTTTGATTGATGGAAAATGATGTTAATAAGCCATACAGTTGGTCACAAAATGGTTAATTAATATAACTTTGAATTGATATTAGGAGAAATGTGATGGAAGAATGTATGAAGTGATACAGAATGAAAAACTTTTGGTAAGAAATGGTCACTGAAAGCTGTTGGAGGCAGAAGCGAGAACATGGCAATTGAAGTGTATTGCGAATAAAGCTGGTTCTCTGCCAGGGTTGCACAGCAAACACCTGTACGTTTCTATGTTTAATTGTTCACAAACGAGTTGTTACAATTGGAAGATGCAAGTCCCTGATGGCTTAGCATTTACTGCTCTTTGAATGCATTACACCAAGAGCCTCTGCCCATTCACAAGGAGCAGTGTTTCCTCCCGTGCCCTTTGGGGAGTGCGCCTTCCGTACAGGTTCTCTCATGTTTTATGTAGGGTTCTATCAAGCTTTCCAACAACAATGTCTCTTCCAGGAGGGATTTATTGGTCTTTTTTTAAGTTGCTCTCATCAGATTTTGAAAAGCAAGATTTCAAGTTACCATGCTCACTGGAAAAGCAGAAGCTTCCTTCTCCCTCCTCCATCCCCAGCATCAAAAATCAGCTGCGTCATGTTATTGCAGTAACAATGCGATGATCACTGTGGTACTGCTCATTAGTCACTTCTTTTGCAAACGATGTAACTTTTTTTTTGTCTGACACTGCCATAAAGTGCTGTTAACTTTTCTCACCTTGTTTGTACAAGATAATACAGATACCGATCACTGTGTGTGACAGGATTCAACTGCTCCACTTTGCCTTGACATAAAATTCTGGGACCAAAGGTACTTAAATCTGGGATTTCCAAAACCTGAGACCGGGGTTGGGTGCATTCTCTTGATAGCCGGAGATTTTGTGGTGATCTGATACAATCACACAAAATTATTACACATCTGGGGTACTGTATTGTTTGGAAATAATGGAGCCATACGAAATAAAAGGTTATTTTGCAAAATTGCATATTTGATAGTTTTTACACTTTTTTTTTTAAAAAAAGGAACAATTGGAAGAGCGTAATTGAAAGCGTACTCTGGTTTAAATGTCTGCATACATGATGAACACTTCTGAGCAGCTTTATTTTTTCTAGAAAAACTGTAGACTACCTGGCTGTGATACAAATGAAGTCTTTAAAAGGATTCTATGCATTTTAAAGTTAAACCTTTTATTTTACCATTGGATAATGAAACAATTATACAGTGAACAACTGTCCTATTAAAGTGAGTGAGTTCCTTAAAATTACTTTACAATGGTGTTCATTTTGTATGATAAAAATTACTTTTCTTGATACCAGTTATTTTCACCTCCAATTTTCTCCTTCTCTCCTGTGTTACCTGCATTTTTGTTTTGTATGATAAAATGGGTGCAGAAGCCTGTAGTGACTCTCAATGATTTTGCAAAGGGCTGGTCGTGTTTGGAGTTATTTTACTGAATTTATTTCATCGGATTTTTTTTTTTGTCAAATCTTTCCAGCAGCCAAGATGTCTTTCAGAAATGTAGACGGATACCAGAAGCAGCATTTCTCTGCAGAGATTATTAGGTGTCTTTTCCCATTATTTTTTTTTTGTGTGTGTGTGGCAAAAATAAAGTTGATTTTTTTTCAAGATTATTTCATGTGCTTCTAATCCTTAATAGATGAGATTATTTTCTTTGATGTTTGTATTTATTGTGCTTATATCTAATAGATACACAGTCTCTATTGTGCTCACCATGAGCACACCAACTAGTAAAATGGCAGTTGGGTTCACTGTACAGCTGCAGTGTGAATTTGTGATAGATAATGTTGCTTATGGGAGCTCTGGTCAAGAAGGACACGGAGACAAGTGTTTCTGTGCCAGAAGTGGTAAGGGGAGGAGTGGGGCAGTGGGGAGGAGGGGGACAGCAGCTTCTGCAGCTCCCGCTCGCTCAGGCTGCAGAGTTTCTCCGCAGGTCACTGCGCAGCAGTGATTCCCCTGGAAGTTTCTGGGAGTTGAGGGCACACCATGAGCAGAACCTTGGCCCCCATCGACCCTGGGCTGCCACCATCCTGGAAACATGTGAATCCAACCTTCTCGTGAACAAGGCTCTAATCATTTTGTAGATACGTGTATTTTTTTAACGGAATGGTCTGTTTTTTAAACCACTCCAGCCTGGGCAAAGCAATACCAAGTGGAACAGTGGGTGTTTGTTCTCTGGCCCTGGCGTCTCCCGCTCAGCTCCTGGCCACCTTTGGGGTTTACTGCTGGGGCCCCACACTGCGACCTGCAGCACAGGAAGAAGGAACTCCTTGGAGCATAGTAAGGCACCTCGCACAGTTTCCAAAACAGCGCCGTGGTTGTAGTTACATCTACCTCTTTGTCTCCCTTCTGGGTTTTGCCTTGTTTTTCCACGTGGTGTTTTTCTGTGAAAGGCGGGGGGGGGGGGGATCCGGGGGGGGAAAAGG